TCGGTTCGGTCAGTTAATTCAGTTTTTCGGTTTGGGCCTATTTTTTAAATATTAAAACAAACAACACTACAAAATTGATCCTTTTTTCTATTCGTTTTTTTCAATATGAGCCCATTCTAATTATACCCATATGACATAAAACCCAAATATTATAAAGGCATGGATAATCAAATAAACAATCATAAATAAATACCAATGATCAAATAATAGCCTCATAATCCAGTCACAATACCTACTGATGAAAGTGACTGATTGAAATGGGGTTTCAAGTGATGTTATTATTTTTTATTCTTTATTAAAATAAAAAATAAAAATAAAAATAAAATAATTTATAAATTAAATATAATTTATAAATTAATAAATTATATGTAATTCGGTCGGTTTGGTCTATTCGATTTTAAATTTTATTAACCGAATCGAACCGATCAACTGAAATATTTAAAATAAAAAAACTGAATCGAACCAAAAAATCAAATAGACCGAATCAAATAGATAAAATTCGATTCGATTCGGTTTGATTTTCGATTTCGGTTCGGTTTTGCTCACCTTTAATTGTACAGATAGGTTTATCATAATTATCTTTCGACCTCATCATGTATTTACATTGCTGATATTATTTAGTCTTTCATTAATTTGTTCACATCAAGTCTACCTCAATATTTCTTCTTCTATTGATTTTTATTTTGCAAAGAAAAATTAGAGATTTATTATCAAATAATAATTATATTGTCTAGTGAGGAAGTTGTATACTTAAACTTAGATAGTGTTGTGAAAAATGATGGGGAACATGTATTTACTTGATGACCTGTACTCTATAAATTTTTTAAATTCAATTTCAATATTAAGCCTCCTAAATCATAAATAAGGCTAAAAGTAGGTACTCTAATTATTTAATGCAGGATATTGATAAATCTATAGAATCGTGTAATAATATACATCTCATACATACACGAACTAAAAAATATGTTATTAAGATCTAAGAAATGTTTAGATCAAATGTAGGGATGAGTGTGCGTGTGTGCGTGCATGCTTGCGTGTGACACACTATTATGTGTCCATCTAATTCTAGGTTGCCATTTACTATGATAATGTGTCAATTTCCCATAATGTTGGCCTTTATTATGATTATTAATAAGATTGAGGGACAGAGCCAACATTATGTTGGTTTATACTTTCCTTGTCATGTTCTTATCCATGTCCATAGTTATACATTTTTGTTTCTCATGTTCGAAGTAAGGAGGTTTTAAAAAATATTAGTTCTAGATAAGGATGGTTGCTTCACATTAGAACTTATAATGTATTTTATATAAAAGTCTTCAATAATTTAATTTAAATAATTATGAATTTTTGTTAATCTATTTCTCACTGCATCCATTTACACCATAGGCATTTATTTTCCTACCATTTGTTTTACTCTATATGCATATTTGATGTTATGACAATAATTACACAGCTCCATTGCATATATATTATATGATGATATGGAAAATGTGTCTATTATGAAATATTCTTTTAAGAAAAATTTTCCTACAAGATTAACACTTATTTATAAAAATTGTGATATATGACCCATGCATCGCGCGAGTATTTTACTAGTTGTTCTAAAAGACGTGGCTTCAATTAATGAAATGTAATTTGGGCCATTGATGAGTTAAAAAAATTTGGGCTTTCTAATATAAAATGGGGTCATTTGAGAAATCACATTTGTTGCAAAACTAGCCAAAGTATATGACTTCCAAAAAATGAGACAATATCCTTTAATTCAATGAGCACAAAGATAGCTAAGCATGCAAAATATGTCTCTATCTATGAAATTCCCTCAAAAAGTATCTCACCTAAGCAAAAATTTGAATCAGTCTGGAGTAGATTAGGTGAGCAATGAACTAGAGTTGAGAAAATGAGTTGAGCCCGCAGGCTAACCTGTTTAACTTACAAAATTTAACAGGTTGGGTTGAATAAATTAGCTATTTTTTAAAAATGAGTTGGGCTAGCCTAACACACAAAACTAGTAGGCTAAAATGCGCTAGCCCCACGAGCTAGCATATTTTTTTAAAAATATTTTTTATTTTTTAATCACATTATATTTTTTTATAAATTAATAGTAATGATAACATTCCTCAATATATAATTTATGACTCTCAAATATATTCTTTACATTTAAAATATAATGTAAATCTTTTTTACAATTTGTAAATAAAATTTTTGTTATAGTTTTTAAATGGATGCTTTATTAATTTGTATAGAAATATTTTGAATATATATTATTTATTAATCTCATAAGATCTATTGATTAAAATTATAAATATGAATCCATTAAAAAAATAATATGAGTTTATAACACACTTAAATAAGAAGATGATTAATAATAAAAATATAGTAAAATGAATTTGTTTGGTTAAATTTTATATTTATTTACAAGTTTTTTAATTGAGCATTTTCCTAAAATGTGAAATAAATATATATTTTTATATTACATAAATTTTAAATTATTAAAAAAAATTTGGTAAATATTTGCAGGCCAACAACCAGCTTGTCCAATATTATAATGAACTTAACATGTCCAAACGCTTTATGACATTAGGTGCAAAAACAAAAAAACCACCACAAAGATGTCCTTGTGATGTTCATATCATGGGTTCAACCCGCAGGTGCAAACATTTCAACATTTGTCAAAAAAAAAGAAGAAGAAGAAGAAGAAAAGAAAGTAGAGGTGAATGGTGCTCGGCTACACTGCACTGCGCTGCACACAAATCATTCTTCAAACAAAGAAGTAAAGATTTAGATAAAGATGGAAGTAGTTTTTTTTATAAAAAAGATTATATTAAAAATTGAGAAATATAATTTTTGGTTTTTGAATTTTTTTTCTAAATTATCAACTCAGTTTATGAATTTTGATTCAAAATAACTTAATCTTTATGATTTACTTACTCGAACAACTTAATTTCTATAATTTGTTAATTTAATACAACTTAGACGCTGTAACTTCTTAACACAAAAAATCATAAAAACTGAGTATAATCATGGTTAAAATGGGCTGGATTACTTGGAAGTAATTTTATATAAAGTATCTCAAATTTCAAAATCCAAGTCATGAAAAAAGGTTTAAACTTTAAAGATGTATTCCAACAAGCTCAATCTCTATTGTCAACTTTAATTAGGGGTGAAAATATGTTAGGTTGAGTTAAGTTTTGACCAGATATGCTTGACCTTATGTGGGAGATCAGAGGTCTAACTCTAACCCTAAACTTGTATAAAACATTTTTTTTAAGGTTTAAGCCTAATCTTACCTAAAACTTAGCCTGATCTAACTTGCAAATCTATTTAAAAATGTATTAAAAAGTAACCTTTTTAAATAAACTTATATATTAGTTTTCAATGTCTCAAGTTTCCTTTCGAACTATTAAAGTATGTATTTATGTAATATGATTTAACAATTTCAGTGTATAATAATTAAGATGACCTACTAACTACAATATAACAATAAAGTAATAATATTAAAATCAATATAAGTCTAATTTGATTAAAAATATAACTAAAAATAAAAAAAATAATAGATTGAATAACAATTAAATGGTGAAATTAATATGTATGTAACATATTTAACAATAATATATATATATATATATATGTAAACAGGCTAGCCTGTTATACTTATAGTTTAAGCCTTGTAAAAATAAGCATAACCTATTTAACTAAATAAGTCTAATAAAAAATTTAAATTTGACCTATACCTATTTAGTAAGTAGGTTAGGTTGAACTTGAAATAAACTCGAATGTAAATCATTGCTTTTTAATAGGGCAGGAGCAAAATCAAGATTGAAAGTGAGGGCAGGCCAAATTTAAATGAAGGTTGTTATATATGTTCATAATTTATTTCTTAAATTTTTTTAATATTTAGGAATAAAATTTTTATTAAAATGCTCTTACAATATAATAAAACTAACATATAAAGCATCAATAATCAATCTAATAAGAAAGCTAATATATATGACATAAATAAAAAATTTCACTTTTTAACCAATAAAAATTTAACATTCATCATGCATCAATAATATTCCTTCCATTTAAAAATATAAATCAATTTTAACCTAATTATACTCCCTAATAAATTAGTTAATTATCTTACTAATACCATTTTTTTATATTTGCCTTTAGTTTTCTTACTTAAAAGTAAAAAGTTAAGTGCTTTATTTATTAAAATTTTTTTTAAAAAATTACTAATTACACATTGTAAAGTTAAAAATTTTTTATATTTTTAAATATTTAATTTTTTTAAACATGTATTATATATTTTTAAATAAAAGAAGTACTATACAAATTGAAAAATATAATTGTATGTGTAAGTGAGAGGAGGGGGGAGTAATCTTCCTTCTTTATTTATTTATTTATTTATTAAAGGCCGCCCGTCCCCACTCCCCACGCACAATATGTACGTACATTATATATATATATATATATAAATAAAGGGACGGTGCCGTTGGGCTGGCCCCTCTCAATGCCCCTAGGTCCGCCTTTGTGACAGGTGTCTAGTCTATTTTCACCACTATCTCAGATAGGTGACCCATTGACACATCCGCACAACAATGTCTGGTTGCATCTTTATCAAATGAAGCTAATGTGTGCTTGTTTAAGTAATTAGGAACTTAAACAGTTTAATTTAAAGTCTTATGTTTGAATCTCGAAGTATATAACAACATAACTAAAATTGTAAAGCATGTCTCATTAATAATACTTGCAAAATCCTTTTAAAAAGGATCCCATCTAAACGGGCATTTAAATTAGACTGAAGTGAACTAAGCATGCAATGAACGCTTCAAGATGTCGCGTGTGAGAGGGGGGGGGGGGGAACACTTTACCAAATGAGTTTGGATTCATTGGGAAATGGCAAAAATGAATGTACTGCAATTAATTATAACAACGAATTATGACGTGATTTTAGTCATCTTTGTTCTTGCATTTCCACAAAATTAACGCGACACACTAAATTACCATCAAATTTTTTACCATTAAATCTTAAGCCAAATTAAGGGTTCATTAATCGATTCAGTCATTCGGGTTTCATCTGTGTCCTCTCCCCTGTATTTACACAAAAGCCCTCGCTTGACCTTTATATTTACCATCACTCCCTGATCTCTATCCTTCAAATCGGGGACGAAATTAACGAAAACCAAAAACATTTAAAGAAAACAAACAAGCAAACTTGATTTCCCCGAGACACCCTTAAACAATAAACAGAAACCACAGTTCTGTTCTATTCTATTCGATTCATCCCGCATTTACTCCTGTCCAAGACTCAAATTCAGATTAACTGGCTCTTTTCTGGTTCGGTTCGCATCTTGATCTCCATTATACCCCAACCGGTTCGCCAAGCTGGCCTCCACAGTTTCCCCAGAGAACGCGCTTTCGCTCTCCGAAAATTCCTGAACCGGCTTCCACAGCGCCGACGAATCGACCCAACCCACTCGCGCCTTCGGCTTTATCACCTTCCCACTCCTCTTGAACCGGCCCTTCCCTCTCACCTTACTCAACTCGTCTTTCTCCTGCTCCTTCTCCGTCTCCCCAACCTGCCCCTGATCTCTCGCCACGTGCCGTATATCGCACGCAGCGAAAACACCTAGATCAGCCCCTTGCGAATCCGAAGAAACCGCCACGACGCTGTTGATCTCCGACCCCATCATCACCGCATCCACGGCGGCCTGGCAGCGATCCCACTCCCCATTCCAGAACAAACCCATCGAGCCATACACCGGATTAACAATCCTCCCACAAGACTCATACAGCAACGACTTGAACACAGCTGAATAATAAAGAAAAATTCTCAGAAATGAAAGGTCAGGCAATGGATGTAAGGAAGTTAAGGGCACTGACCTGGGCCGAGGTGAGGCGGGGCGGCGTGGAGGAGGTTGAGGAGGCCGGCGCGGCCGTAGAATTTGGCGAGAAAGAGGGTGGCGTTGGCCTGAGATTCAGGAGAATGGATCCATTGGAGGCAAGGCCGGATGATGCAGGAGTCGGTGCAGCCTTTTCGGAGAATGCGGCAACCGTTGCAGCTGAGTCTCATGGTGGCTTGGGACTGTGGCCTATGAACCTAAGCTACGTTCTGACTGACTTCACTGTTTGTAGTTTCAAGTATTTATTGGGAACACAGTGAGTGAACCTGGCAAAGCTGAATTAAGCCGAAGGAGCTGGGTGGGTGCAGTGGTTTTGCCGATTTGTGGGCTTCCTCAGTCGACTCTGTTTCGCATATGCTCCTTCGTTTTGGCTTGCTCTTGTTTCTTTATTGCCCTCCATGCAATGCAATATTACGCAACACGCCAAGGCCGTCCCAGGGAAGTCTCCAGGGGTAAATAGGTCAATTCGTTACTGTGTGTTTTTTGTTTAAAAAATAATAATAAAGCCTGTCAATGTGTATCACATCATATTAGAATATGAAGATTTATGATTAAGGTAAAAATGAAAAAAGCAGTGGGGGTATATCATATAAATATGGAAAAGGGCAAATGAGAAGAAAATGGGGAGAAAAAGGGGAAAGTTGAACACTTAGCAAATTAATCAATGTGCGCACTGGTCCAAAAAGAAAAAAAAAAAAATCAATGTGCGCATATAATTTAATAATAAAATAATAATGGAAGAAAAAACCGTAACTCCCCAAAACCAAAAACAACAATAACTGTACAAAATCAAGGGCATCTTATATTTCTTTTTGTTTTTTTTTTAAATTGGAAAAAGAGTAAACTAGTCTAGCCCGGTGAATTGTGAAAGATAGAATCCATCACCTTTTTCATACAAGAGTGAATTACTTTGCTACTATACAATGAACCAAGTGGCATCTTGTACTACCAAAAGACAATTTAAAATAAGATTAGGCATATTAATAAAACTCAATAATGATAATTTATAAATTTATTTTGTAAAATAAAAATATAAAATTTCAAAATTACTTTTCATTTAATATAACTTTAAATCTACACATTTATTTATTACATTGCGGTCATTTTAATTCTTTCTTTACTTAAAGGGTAATATTAAAAAATTATCATTAATAAAATTTTATTTTTTTTAAAATTATTTTATATTTTGGAATGATGTAATACATCTAAAGTTGTCTCATGATTTGGAATGAAAAAGTATTTCTTTGCTTTTTCTATTTTGTTTGCTTCCTTTGATCCATACACTTTTTTTCTTGTGGTGCCCATGGTTTTTCCTCTCATATACCGGAAAACTCTAGTGTTTTTTTTTTTTTTTTATGGCCTTGGTTTGAAACTTATGGTTTCCTACTTTCCTCTAGATTCTCAATTCCTAAATTCAGTCTGTCTCTTTCTTCCTGCATCATTTTTCTTTTTCTTGTGCTTTATTGTTGTCATTTCCAGATCAAAAACATCTCTGAGACTGGATTTTGTTGGGCAAAAGGGATAAATTTGGACAAGCCCTTTGAGTTTATACTTAAGTGTAACCAAAATCCAGATCTATATTCAATATTGTATGCGGAAAGGTAATTTAGCAATACAATAGAAGCAATGATTAAAGACAGAAGCAATGATCTCATACAATATCAATGTAAGTTAAGAGTAGGTAGAAATCACCGAACCTCAACAAACATGCCTCAAACCCATTGGGCCTAATTCACTTATGGATATATCATAACATAGAAGTTTAATTGGTTGTCATTTAGGCATAAAGCCCACACACAATTGATCATAGAAGCCCATATATATATATATATATATATATATCTGTTGCTGGTTTGCACTGACTGGACTGAGCTGGGCCGAGCACCAGACCCAATTATCATGCAAGCCTTCAAGTTTCATATTTTCTTTATCATAGGGTCTGGTTGTGGGGGAATTCTATGTCCACGTTCACTGTCAGATAAGAGGTGTGTTTGAATTTCAATTGAATATAATTGATTATGAAAAAAATTAATTAATAAGAAATATTTTGAATATAATTCATTATACTATGAGGTATATAGTTGATTTATAAAATTAATTTTAATCATAATTGAAAAGTAGAATTAAAAAGAAAAATTGAAAAGCAGAATTGAAAATCAAGTAAAATCCTGGTTTTATGAAAACATATCCAAGCATCTCTGTTGCATGTTAAAATCAGTTATTAATCCAAAATCATGTTTTTCAAAAAAATATCCAAACACTCATTAGACATGCCAAAATCCATTATGAACCCAAAATTATAGTTTTTTTAAAAAAATACCCGAACACCCCCATACATGCCAAGTCAATTATGAACCCAAAATTATGATTATTTCATAAGTTACCATCACCTACTTTTCAATTCATACTTTCAATTATACTTTTTCAAAAATCATATTTTAAAAAATCATATTTTTGGGCATATGATTGATTTTGACATATATAGATGTGTTTGGATATTTTAAAGAAAACATGACTTTAGGTTCAACATTGATCTTGGTATGTATAATGGGTGTTTGGATATTTTTAGAAAAATATAATTTTAGGTACATAGTTAATTTTAATATGTAATAAGAGTATTTGGATTTATTTTTGTAAAACCACGATTTTGACCTCTAAAATTGAACAATGACATTATCCAAACAGGCACAAGATCAGACAAATGTTATTATTCAGTTGGACGGATCTGCATTTCAATCATATGACGAATTAAACAACCATCCAATAACAAAAGAGATAAACAAAGGAGCAGGTTGTGATGATGAAAGATATATTATATTGTAACAAAAATATTCCCTCTCATTCTTTTTATAAGGTGTTTGGGATATTTTTTTAATGCAAATTGAGAAAATTTTTTTTTGTTACTTTATTTGTAAAAATATCTCAATTTTCATCAATATTCTTATTAATTAAAAGGATATTGATGTTATTGTGAAAAATGAAGCCAATAAAAACATAACAGACAGGCTTTGTTTTTGGCCAAGCAGACACGCTTTGTTATTTGTGTAAAGTTATCATACTTTATCAAATTTGAAAAACACCATTAAAACTGAGGGATAAATTGCAGTAACATTCATATATAGAGTAAAGAGAGTATTTATTTTAGTTTTATTTATAGAGTATTTCTATAATTTTTGTATTTATTTTATCTTTTTATCTTTATTAAATATTATGAAGGTTATTAAATGTTGGGAGTATTTTATTTTTAAAATATACATATTTTATAAAGGTAAAGTTAGAAATTTATTGAATAAAATTTTCAAGATTTTTCTTAATTATGATAAATTATATTAAAAATAATTTATAAATGGGCCTTATTATAAGATGTTTTTGTAGTAGTGTACTAGTGACGATAGTGATGAAGAAGAGGACATATACAGGCTTTGGTAGGAGGGGAAATGCGTGGATGAGGTGAATGAGAGGAGAAATGATGAAGGAAGAGAGAGAGACAGTCAAAATTGATTCCAAATCCAAAAGAGAAGCAGACAAAGTAGGGGACTGCGAATTGCTGCATAGCTTTTATTAAAATCCTCTACATCACCGCATAATACGTGGCGCTATCCCACATCGATTTCTCTGCTCTCTTCTTCTCTCTGGTCCCTCTTCTTCTTCCTCCTCATATAATTCCCACACATTTCACAAACACAAAAGCCCCTTTAATCGCAGTCACGGCAATGAGTATGCAAAAGGCAACAAAAAGTCATCATTTTTGATCTCTTCAGATCCATCAAGAAGTTTAGACTTTTTAAATGTCGCCAGCTCTGTGATGCAATGTTTGCATTGCATGTCTTCACGCACTATTTCAAGTACCAGACAAAACTCCTCTATAACAAGGTTGCTGCTACCCTATCTGTGTATCCACTAGTTTACACTTACAGCAACAAAAGTCGACCTAACATCCCCGTGGAAATCTGATGAACCGATCAAGTTGAATTATTAAACCAGTTTTTTAACCAGTTTAATAAAATATTTTGTTTACGACCGGTTTAATAACAGTTTTGATCATTAACTTTTAAACCAATACTTTGACCGGTTCAATGACCCAATTTAATTTTCAATACATTGCTATTTATAAGACAGGGAGGTTTTTATATGTATATTTAATATAGGTAAAAGTTGAAATTTTATTATATTTTTAGACATATGCCCTTTGGTTCTTAAGGATACGAATCAACCAATAGTTACTCCCTCCATTTTTATTTATTGCATAAATTATCACTTTTGATTTGTTTTTCTAATAAACAAAATCACATATCTCAATAAGTATTAATTATAAATTTTTTAAATTAACTCTTATAATTTACATTAACGAGAAACAATTAATGCGTATTTATATTGATTAATATATGGTATTTTAATCCAATTTTTTTAGACATAACTTTTTCTTTGAGGATATCTAGTATCTTTAAGTAAAATCCGACGCGAGAGTACCCACAAGACCATAATGTTGATGAATTGAGTGCAGAAGTGCTCAAATCGTTAAATTTGACTAATGTCCGTTAATATTAACCAATAATGATGCATGATTATCTATTAACTTATAAAAGGGGCAATATAACTAAGCTCGACCCTAACAACTTGAGCTTTTGGACTTATTTGAGCTGGCTAAAATACTCAAATTGTAATTAATATTCATTTTATTTTTTATTTTTAGTCAATTTCAATTTTTATCTAATTTTAATTTTATTTTATTAATAATAAAAAAGAATTCAAGTACTTGGGCTAAGCCCATTCTAGTTTGGAATTGGCGTGGATAATTTTCAAGCTTATTCAAGAGACCCAAATAACTCCAAAGTAAAAAAAAAAAAAAATTCTAAAACTCCCAAACCCAGTACTAATGTTTAATCACATCTAATCTTTCTCAATTCGTTAAGATAACTTCATTTTGACTGTGACATTTTGAGAATAGAACTTAATAGATTGTGAAAGGTTGGCAATTTTTATAATATTAATGAGTACCCCTACACTATTATTTACTTTATGATACTAGAAGCACCTGAAGAAAAAACTTATAGGTATTTTTGTAGCTTTTATTTATTTTTTACTAGTCAATATTAATAGACATTAGTCAAATTTAATGGTTTAGACACTTTTGCATCCACTTTATTAACATTATGAACACTCTTGCATCATCTTTCACTTAAAGATATTGAGTACCTGTGGAAAAAAATTTATGGCTTTACCTAATTATTATAGCTAACTTATTTTCTTAAACTATAATGTGATACATTTTTTTCTTTTATATATAAAAACAGAAGGAGTATATCCTTAAAATTGTAAAATATATATATAACTTTCCAATTGTTCACTTTGTTGGCAATTAATAGCCATATTAAATTTTGGCTAAAGTATAGTTTTAGTCATCTAACTTTATATAAGGTTTTAATTTAGTCTTTTAATTTTATAAAATATATCTAAAATATATATTTTTAATCCTTTAACCCTAACATCATTAATTTTAAATGATTATTTTTTATCTCAATCATTATTATTTTTAAAAAATTAAAATTAATATGTTAACATTTAAAAATATTTTGTTAATATTTAAAAGTTTAATATAAAAATTTCTTGGGATAAAACTAACAATATTAGATTTAAAAGACTAAAGAGACGTTTCATAATATCAAAAGATTAAAACGAAACATTGTATAAAGTTAATAGATTATATGTATACTTTAACTTTAAATTGTTGTCTAAGAATTCAAATCATAATAAATAAACAAGGGATAAAATTGGAGGAAAAAACAATTAATTACTCACACTTTGCCTTATATTAAGGATCAAATAAGCTTTTAAAATTTATACTCCCTCCGTCCCAAATCATAGGGTACTTTTAAAGGAGTTTCTCCATCTCAAAATATAAGACACTTTAAATAGATTAACATTTCATTAAATGTATCGATTATAACATTATCATTTCTCTCTCTATAATTAATTTTCATCACTTCTCTTTTTAATATATTAAATTATGAGTATTCTGGAAAGTTCATATTTTTGTTTTGGAAAGATAATATTGTTAAGTGTATTTAATGAGATTTATTAGTATATGAGATTTTATTTAAAAATATTTTATAATTTGAGACGGAGGGAGTATTATATATTAAGAACTGGATCGGAGGGAGTAGTTAATGAATTTTAAATTTTTATAATTTCAATAAAACATGTTGAATGTAATTTAATTTATAAAGACAACCAGATAGAATATGCCAATTTTTTTACCCTCGTCATGTTTCATTTGAAAAGAAACTATTCATATGATGACCACAAATTTCATTAATTTGGATCATTAATAAGAGTCTTTGGTAATAGAACTTGCGGTCTAATCTGCCGTACAAGGAATAATGAATTCATTTTTCTTGCTCCAGGTCATATATACTTTTTGAATTTTTTTTGGGACAAGACTGCATATAATTGTTGATTAGATTCTTTAATTTAATTGATTATATGTGCATTTTAACACAAAACAGTTGTCATCAATAATTCAAGATGACAAGATGCTCGTGAATAATGACTTATTAATTAGATAATATTGTTCGCTGGCATAGCGTTAATCGTCCTTTCATTTTCATTATTCTATCCAAAACACTAGCAATTTCCCTCCAAACTTTTATTATACCAGCCCTCTCACCCAAAAAAGTACAAAGTTTTTACTATGGTGTTAGATGTGTAACATAAAAACATATCTAAGGCGTTACGTACGTTGAAGCATGTAAAGAATTCTACTTGTCTATTTGATTATGGAATAGAGTTGGGATTTGGAAGTAGCTCCTAGTCCTAAGATTTGTCATTTCATTTGGAGGGTGTTGAATGATGTTATTGCTAAAAAAGTTGCCCCATCCAAAAGCAAGTGTGCTGCTGATTCCTTATGCCCAATCTGTTTGAATGAGGAGGAGACAACTTAACTTTTGCTTTTCCACTGTCCTTAGGTAAGATCTTGTTGGTTTGGTTGTAGTTTAGGAATATTGATATCTAATATTAATATTCCTACAGTCTCTGCTTGGCTAATTGATATTTTTTGTGATAATAATGCAATTGGGGCTTTTGAAACGGCACTTGTTGCTTCCATTTGTTGGGAAATTTGAAAAAGTAGGTGTGGTTGGGTATTTAATGGGGGAAGTGTGAATGCTGAGAAAGTTATTTTTAATGCCTTTAGGATTGTGATTGAATGTAAAAATTTGCAGTTCCATCATAAATTGAAGAAATACAATGCGCTTATGGACTCACTTGATAGAAGTTTGTCTTGGAGGAGACATTTATCAAGGGGAGTTAAGATTAATGTTGATAGCTCGTTTAATAGTGTCTTGAAGTCTTTTGGTATTGGTCTTATTTGCAAAGTTGAATTTGGGAATTTCTTGGGTGGTTGTGGGAAGAATATTATTGCCAATTCTACTCTCATATGGTTGAATGCTTGACTGTTATGAAGGTTTGAGGGTGGCTTAGTGATATTCTAGTTAGATGGTCCCTGTGGAAATGTTATGAGGTAAACTTGATTTTGATTATGATTAAAAATGTTTGAGAATTGTGTAGGATATTCTTGTAGCGAAAGAATTGTGCAATTATGCTTGTTTTTTCTTGGTGGCTTGCTAAGGTAATGAAGCTGCCAACTTTTTAACATTAATGAGCTTTAAGAAGATGTGTCCGATAGAATAGTTCTTTATAGCTACATCTTTATTCGGGTTGTTACTTGCTAATTTGGAAGCTACTAATTGTCCTAATTAATTTTTCTTTTGTTACTAGTTCCTTTCAGAATGAAGAGGGCATTAATTAATATGTTGTTTTGGTTTTACACTTGGACTATATTGATACTATTTCTGGGTTGTTGTTTTGCTTTTATTTTGTTTTATGAGTTGTGTGTTACGTTGTATCTTATGTTTCTTTTTTAATAATGCTTTTTGGCTTTGGCTATTACTAATTGTAATATTTTTTTTCGTGGTTAATAAAATTGGCTTTTTTGTGACAAAAAATGTTTATTTGATTATCAAATCTCCACTCCATCCGTAAAATCTATTTGATTATCACATCGCTAGATTGCTTGCGTTAGAGTTGTAACATGTGAAAACGCATGCATTTAAACATTCATAGTCCCGTTATATAATAAATACAATCAATCTCGGTATAACATACTAAAAATTAAATTATGCGTCTGATTATATTTTATGTTATGTTTATCCAATGTAGGTATATAAATCGAAGATACACAAACTAGAAGGCGTGTTCAAAATTCAAATATTAATCGAGAAGGGGAATGGTCCCGACATACACATTCTAACACAGCATTTACAAATTACCTTGGTTAGTGTAAAGACACATGAAAATCCGTCATTCCATTACATTCAGGTAAGTTAATTATTTGTAAAAAAATATGTGCTGGTTTTAAAATACCTCACCCAATTAGAGTTTCTCTAATGTAACTCACGTGAGAATATTTGCGCATTCAATAGGGGATAATATGGACAAAAAGAAAATATAAATATTACTGTCAACTTGTTTAACTGAAATTAAGAAAATCTTAAACCTTATTAAATTTATTTAAAAAACTTTATCCCTATTAAATATCCATACTTTAAAATAAAATAATCTAATATTTAATAATTTTTTTTAACATTAAGCAAGAGCAAAAAAGATAAAGATAGACATAAAAATTAAAGATATGCTTTACAAATAAAATCAAAATAAATAATTCTTCTATCCTATAAAAAGGATTAGAGGAGTAAAAGAGATTGAGATCCTACTTACGTTCATGACTAAAACAAATTTTCCAACCAACTCTCATATTTAAGACTGAAATGAATTTTAATTTTTGCCCCAACCAAGTTACTCTACCAAATAAAGTGACCAGAAATGAGGTTATGGGCTAAAAGAACAAAGTCAATGAAATCAACGGCTAAGATTTGGTGGACAATATTAGTTAGACGATGAGATTCCAATAGTCAGGTCTTTGTCAAATAATTTGAAGGGAAAAGAAGCGCAGAAAAATATGGAGAATCTCCAATATTTTCTGCAACAATGATGATGGATAATGGATTGTGGAACAAAATTTGAGAGAATTGTTAGAACGTATAGAATGAATCAGCACAGTAGAATACTTACCAGTGTCCCCAGTTACTAGCAAATGCATATATACATACATACATATACATACATACATATATATACATATATATATAGAAGATCATGCATCATCATCATCAGTATAACTTTCACTTCCCAGAAATAGAGACAGTGCACGGAAGCTTCAACAAAGTCTGAGAATAAACATTTAATCTTTTATTCTGGCAAAAAAAAAAAATTTAATCTTTTACCACCTTTGATGATATCAAGTTTCAACTATTCATCAAACACCTTGGCCAGCAGTGAGAGAACTAAGCTAGCCAAGTATATATATAATAATTCCTGCATTGGGAAAACAACTAGGGAGAAAAATAATTGCTCTCATATATTCAACAATATTTCTGCCATTCTTGTCCTTCCCCTTCTCGATCGGTTCTAGGAGTCAAAAGCTAGTAATTTACAAAAAGTACATGAGTTTAATTTGTTGCACAGTTTCTCTAATTGCTCAGAGATTCTGGGCACCCTGCGACACTGAATCTAAAACTCAACCTCTCTCATGAGCTTCTGTACACAAGCTAACATATTGAAAATGAAGATGATGATGATCTATTTCTGAATCCTCCACTGATGAAAAGGAAGATATTTTTTCCACATGTACCAAAATACCCCCGGTTTTCCCTCATAATCTGCGATAACCAGACATGTTTCTTGGGAGAAAATGATGAGAAAAACGAAGGTATTTTGGATGAGCTTCGTGAAATTACAAAACCAAAAATTGAAAGATAGGTTAAAGAAAAATCAAGAGAGAGGGAAGATGGGAATTCTACTTGTGAAATTAATTGTGGAGGGGATCTGGGCAACTGGGAATTCTTCTTTTACTCTCTTCGAAGCCGTTTGGAGTAGTTTTAATGGCAGGAGGGGCAGAAGCTCTTCTTCCACTCAAATACTTGTGAACCAGATCCTGCTTGCTCTTGTTATCCAAGACGCCATAGCTAAGCTTCTCTTTTGTCGGCACTGTGGAAGAAGAAGACGGAGACGAAGATATTGGAATGGCCTCAACCCGACACGAGTGGGAGCAAACCCACACGAAGAGCACGGAGATTACCAGAAGGCCCACCACGAAAAGGAACGAGATTCTCCTGACGCCGGCGAACCACATGGCGGCCGGAGAAACACCCACATAAATTATTTCGACCTCTTTTTCTCTCTCTACCATGATAGATCCCTCTCTCTCTCTCTCTCTCTCTGTGCGCGAACTAAGAAGAAGTATGTGAATTCTTTGAGATTGGGATGAAGAGAGGAAAGAGCGAGGGAGAGAATTGATGGCTCAGCTCTTAACTTTAGAGAGACTGAGAGATTAAAGATGGAGGCTCATGTCATGGCCATAGACACCTCCACCGACCCCATCCACAGTGGCCCCACGTGCATGTAGAAATGAATCCCTTTTGTTCGGTAATAATAATTTTACAGGGAAAACACAGTTCCTCGTTCTAGTAGCTTTATTAAATTTTGCTTTTAATTTTTATAATTTTTTAAATTTTTTTAATCTTTATATTTACAATAAGATTGGGAAACGTTTATTTTTACAGGGAAAACGTTTATTTTTTTACAGGGAAAACGTTTATTTTTCATGTTTTTAATAATGTTAAATTAGAGAGATTATTATTTTTTGACTGAATAAATTAGAGAGATTATAAAGGTTGAAAATACTAAAAACAAATTATAGGGATTAAAATCAAAATTTGATAAAACTATAGTGACTAATGATTATGTTTTCCCTAATCTTTTTTAATTTTAATCTTATTTTTAAAAGAATTTAATTTTATTTCTCTACTTACAGCATGTTATTGAATATTGACGCTGGTCCGGCAAATTATTTTTACTATTATACACATGGATCTTCTTAATAGAGACAATCTTGCTTAAAATATAATCATTTACTTAATAAGATAAAATTTCTCTGAATTTGGTTATCTGAAACTCTGTGAATTTAAGATCATATTAGTTATTGATTGAAAAGCAATTTCATGATTGGGTAATTTGTAAACACTGAAAGAAACGTACGGTAGTTTGCTTTAGTTATGGAGTGATTTCAGTACAATATTAGTTGATAATTAATCCATACAAAACTCTCTAATTCTTTTTTATTATAAGATAATTTTGTGCCATTTAATTTAATTAACAGTTACTATTATCTCAAATTGACAGAACTTTAGACTATAAACTTTAGAGGATTATAATCCCACTAAATATTGGCACATCTTTCTCGCAAAATTCAAACATTCTTGCAAATAAAAATTAGTTTGTACATTACCACAAAATTATTGATATATGATATCATTAAAAATGATAATTTTCAGAAAATTTATTATTTAAAAGAGAGGCGGATAATAGTTGCAAAATAAATGATGGGTGTTCAAACACCCGTCATTTATTTCATTAACATATATGGCCAGTGTTTTAACACCCATCATATAAGGCTTCAAATTCTACCTCTAAAAAAATTAAAAATTCATATTAACATAAATGACGGTCTTTCTAAACACTCGTCATTTATATTGACGACATTATATGATGGGTGTTTTAACACTAGTCATATAATGTTTAAGTTTCTAAAATTTTAAAAAAGAAAAAAATGAGACTATGATCGACATTTGAAATGCTTGTTATATAAAGTCATCATAATCTATGATGGGCTTTTAAAATGCTCGTTATATAAAGTGGAATAAATGATGAGCATTTAAATGCCTGTCATTTATTCTTAGTTAAAAACTTTTTAGTTCCTTCCATTTCATATCCTCTCTTACGTGCCTGATGAACTCTCCTCTCTTCTCTTCTCCACTTTTATGCGAAATCACAAGTAAACCCATAAAGTGGCTTCATTTCCATAGTCGACCATCATCCCCCACCTCCATCATGTTTTCGCCATCATCCTCATTGCCGTTCGTTGTGCCTTGAGTTTGCCATTGCATTTCAATTCATTTTCTTCCAACTTGCAATTTTTTTTTGTGTTTTGTACCATTTCTTTCAATGTCCTTTGGTTTTTTCGCTGTGGGAATGATTTATTCATTGTTTTGTAGAGTTTTATTGTTTGAATTCACGTAGTTAACTTTCTATGCATATTGTTGCTTGATTTTGGTAATGTGGATTGTTGAAATTGATAATATATGATGCGTTCTTGGCTTGAGGATGCTAATGGAGGTTATGGGTAGCCTCAGAATAATTATGAGGATAAAAATGAGTGATCGAAATGTATATTCATGATGATTGTATTTTTTCTATGAATTTTGAACGAATTTTTTGAATATTTTTTTAAATTATATGCCTTATTTGATTTGGATAGTTTTATTGTTAAAAACTACATATTGAAATGTACCAGTGTACCAAATTTTATTATAATTGGTGTTCATTTGAGTGACCAAAATTGACGCGCGATTTCTCTAAAAATTATAACTATTTTATTGAGATTTTGACAATTGCTATAATGAATGATATTATTTTGGCATGATATTACTACTGTAAGGTATGAGTAACACTAGAATGATAAATGAGATAAAAAACAATGATTGGAATTGATGTTTATGGTATTTTTCTTTTTTTTTCTGTGATTTTTCAATGAATTTTTTTTTGGAATTGTGTATGGTTGAAAATGTCATTTTGTTGGATTTTGTTGCTGTTGAGATTGTGTATGATTGAATTTGGCTTATTGATATAAGATGTTAAGTTTAAAAAATGATTTTGAGCTTGAGAAATACTTGTTTTTATGACGTTATGCTGCTAAATTTTTTTGCATGTAGAGTAGTTAATTACTTTTTTGATCAATTTATCATTCATTTGTTCTCCATATTTGTCTTTTCTATTTTTGTAGGTAAATGACTTCTCAAAAAAGTAATGATCGTAATGGACCTAGTAATACTGATCCTAGCATTGATACACATGATTAACAAATTTAACAAAAAGCAAATCAAATAATGAGGGGATTGGCATTAATGAGCGAGGTAAATAGGAGAAGGGCTATTGGACAAAAATATAAACTTGAATGAAATTACAAAGGTTAACCTATCAAGACTAACAAAAATAAATTTATAGCTACATAGGGGTTGTGACAAAGGCAAATGTGCCCATTATAATTAGGAGTTAGAACGATGTTAGTCCAGTAACAAAGAATTATATTTGGAAGCAAGTAGAGGTAAAATACTTTACTCATAATCATTATAATTAATTATAATTACTTGACTACAAATCTAATTAATTTCCTTGTTTTACAATCAGCGTTCACAATTGATGCTAGTCAAATGAAATTTGTCATTCAGTAAGGTGGAAAGGCAATGTGGACATTTCAGTATTTCGTTGGAATGAAATACATTAAAAAATTGGCCGGAAACATTAGTGCTAAAGTTCTCGAATTAATAAGGCCATTAGTCTCACAAGAATAATGAAATAATGGGAATTCCAAGTATGAACTATAATTTTTTATTATCAATATATATATATATATATATTGTTGATATGATTCTATGTGTTTGGCATAGGAATTGAGCAACTAAAAGAAATAGTTGCATGAGAAAGATATATACCCTTACAAGAAAGGGTGCATAGGATTTGCAGAAATTGAGCAGCAAATGGTATGTTAATATTTAGGATATATAATTTTAGTTTATTTTATTGATATGTGCACTATTAATGTTCAACTTTATTTAAATGCGTAGATCGAGCAAGAGGGTTCAGGAGCAAGTTCTATTTCACATCATAAACTCTTCATAGAAGCCCAGACTAATAAAGAAGGAAATATTGTTGACGAATGTGTTCATGAACTTGCTAACAAATATGTAAGTACATTATTTTAATATTATCATTTTTTTATAATTAATTAATAAATTTAACTTTCTCACTATATGTTACACAGTCTAAGATAGAGAAAAGTGGCTTACCTAATGATGGAGATGTCTTGGGCAAGGCACTGGGTAATCCTGAACACTTCGGTCGGGTTAAGGGTTACAACTTCAGTGTCACAAAAAAGCAAATATTTGGAACACAAAAAAAGACGAAGTCAATAGAGGATGTGGACGCAAGGACTAAGATTGCTATACTGAAAGAGGAGCTATCTAGGCAATGAAAATTGATTGATACCTTGCTAAAGGACAAGAAAAGGCGGGAGGGGGAGTTTCATATTAGTCCTAGTGAGAAAGGTAGTTTCAGTGTAATGCAGCCCATTAAAAATCTCCCTAAGGTAAAATAGTATTTGTTTATTTCACTTATATTTCACTCTTTTTATTTTCCATAGCATTAATATAGTATATTACTCATTAATATAGGGCGAGAATATATGTGAGTTGTTAGCATATAGCTTGAATCATCACGTGGTTGCTATCGGTCGAGTGTTCAATATGCTTGGAGACACATTATATAATATGCCACTCCCTGCATCCTATGTACTAGTTGCTATTGATATGTACTTAAAGATCTCAACTATCCATTACTTATTCCCACCAAGGATGCAAGGATTGTAGGATAGGCGATGGGTAGTTTTGTTAGATGGCAAGCTATCGATGTTAAGATGCCAAGTCCAAAAAAAGCTAACAAAGATGCACAATCTAAGAAAAAGACCGTGCCTCGATCTAGGCTTTCCTCAAAAATTGTTTCACATGTAGCTATGTTTGAATAAGAGCCTTAATTGTCAAGCTCGCATTAAAATTTACTTCAGGAAAATGCAATGATTCATAGGTCTAATCCTCTAATCTCACAAATTTCATTTGAGGCAGGCATATATGGTGCACCATAATATGATATGCTTTTACTTGATATTATAGATGAAGTGCTACTGCATGAGATGACCAGCCTCACTATTCTCAGCTTTTATATACGGTAAATTATCTTTCATATATGAATAATTAGTATTTTAAATATATACTAATTCATTTGATATATTGATGGTAGGTACTTGTATGAAAAATTTATTGTCCCTTTCGGCCTACAAATGAAGTTTATTTTTGTTAGTTTCCATGAGGTTGGTGCACATGCTTTAATTAAAAAGGACAAGATTTTAGATCAAGCCAAACAATTAAGTGAAAATGTTAAAGCAAAGGCTCAAAAGGAAATATTATTCTTAAGACCATATTGCCAAGGGTAACCTACTTTTTACTTATATTAATGGATTTGTTAAGATTAATTTAGTCAATTAGTTATAATTTTATAACACTTGTTAATGTCATTAGG